CCTGTAGTCCCAGCTACTTGGGAGGCGGAGGCAGGAGACTCGCTTGAGCCCAGGACTTGGAGGTTGCTGTGAGCTGTAATGCCATGGCACTCTGCCCAGGGGGACAGCTTGAGGCTCTGTCTCAAAAAAAAAGAATAGTAAACATACAGAGACAGAAGTGGGGGAACTAAACCAACAGCAAAAAGCAAGTTTACCTGGATGAAGGGATGGGTGTGGAGGGTCCTAGGGAAAAGTCATGGAAAAGCTATCTGCTCAAAGGCAACTTCAAACTTTCAAAGGATTTGAAAGGTACTTCGTTTCTCCTAACACCTACCTCTGGGTCAAGATCATCCAGAACAGTTTCCAGTTGCTTCAGTTCTAGTTCTGACAGATTCCCAAGGAGTTCATCTTCATCAAGGTCCTTGTACTTCTCTAAGTCCTTCCGAAATGGCAGTGCCATGATTTGCAGTGTAGGATGTCACTTAATTTTGCTATTCAGTAAAGTTAGAAGTGATTTTTTTACTTTTTCTTAAAGCTATAGAGAAAAGAAATAAAAACATTTTTAATATTAAGTAATCTCTACCTACTTAATCTATTATTAGGTTAAGTAAAATGTAATTTTCACATGTCATATATTCTTGGATCATTACCTTTTGTCCTTTTTTTTAAGTCAGGGGTCTCACTGTGTCTCCTGGACTAGAGTGCTGTGGCGTCATCATAGTTCACAACAACCTCAAAGGCCTGGGCATGAGCAATCCTCCTGCCTCAGCCTCCTGAGTTGCTGGGACTACAGGAACCTGCCACCATGCCCGGCTAATCTGTGTATTTTTAGTAGAGATGGGGTGGTCTCAAATTTCTGAGCTCAAGCAGTCCACCACCTTGGCCTCCCATAGTACTAGAATCACAGGTGTGAGCTACTACACCCAGACACTTTTTGTCAAGGAAAAAAATCAACTGGGAAAAAAGAGGGGGGAGGATGGAAGAAAATTCAAATCCATGAAGACAGCTACTTAATAGAATTTAGAATTTCTGATAACTGAAATTTAGAAAAAAAGACACTATAATGTGTGCCAAATAAAAGTTTTTCTATCAATGGCTTTTAAATTATTTTCAGAGTACTTTGCTTCAGCTCAGTATGTTTAAGGCACACTAATCTTACTGTAAATTGTTTAGGAGAACAATATGACCCAATGTTAATACAGGTGGGGTATCAATTCCCTCCCCATGGAGGGAGTGGTCTCTTGCCACTGGAAAACAATTTTTTTTTTTTTTTGAGACAGAGCCTCAAGCTATCCCCCTGGGTAGAGTGCTATGGCTTCACTGCTCACAGCAACCTCCAACTCCTGGGCTCAAGTGAGTCTCCTGCCTC